CCACTCTTCCTTTGCCAGTGTCTTTATCTTGCAAAAGACGAAATAGCAGTCACCCATGGGGCACTCCTAGAAGGGTGAGGGTGTAGAGGGAGAAAGCATTGCTGAAGGAGCTCCCCCCTCCACTACATACACACCTCAGGGTGGGAGAGAGGAGAGAAAAGGGGAGACTTGCCAGGGAAATACTTTGGAGTAGTGAAAATTTCTTTTCCATGATAATTGTTAAAACCGTGTGTCCACCTCCCAGCACAGGGGCTCCCAGGAGAAGGGGGCGCCCTAGTCTCCTGAAAATCAGCTACTTGGTGGGTCAGGCTTGAGAGGGGTCTTCGCACAAGGCTCCAGGTCAACACCTTGGCCTTAGCCCCTCTCCCCCTTCATTTCTAGAGACACCACCAGCCCCTCCTGCCTTGTGTCTGGGTAGAAGAGAACTCCTGCCTGGCCAGGGGAGGGTTTGCTCCGCGAGGGAAGGTGGACTGCACTTGGAGGGAGGAGGAGGTTCCCTGCCTCTGAGGACAGGGAATAGAGAGATTTGCCCTCCATACAATGGAGGGGCCTGCGGTAAGACCCCAGGCAGCCCCTCCTCTCCGGGAAGGCCCTGGGACTGGGATGGTGGGTGGGTGGGGGTAGTATGTGGGTGGAGCTCCCCTCCCTTGGGAGCAGGAAGTCACTGCACACCTTTAGGGTCGTGCCCCTCTACCCACATCCTTTATGAATTTGGGGGGAAGTCCTTGATCTCCGGGGCCCATCTACACAGGTCTCTGCTACTCGAATAGCATTCCATCGACTCTGGAGACAATCCCAGAGGCAAGTTCAGGCACCCAAACCTGGAGAGGTTCAGAGCTGAGTAACCAGCACCTCTGGGGTGCAGACATCTTGTTGGGATCAACCAGCTCCCCCCCACCCCCCCGCACCCCTCCGTCGGGGGACTTGGGGGTGGGGGAAGGACGGCCTGTCCCTAGGTGTCTTTCCACCGCCCACCCCCTCCCACCACCGAAATCTCCCTCTTCCCACCTGCAAGTAATTTGACCAATAGGAGGGCAGTTAAGATGCAATTTGGAATCCCCTAGATCTGTGTGCGTTTGGTGAGGAGGGGGCTGCCGCCTGCCCCTGGGACCCTCGGTGCCCTTTCCCTCTTCACGGCAGCAAATTACTTGTAATTATCTCACATTGAGAACCTTCAGGAGCTCCTCTCCAAATTGCTTTAATTGAATTAATTAAATCTCATTTTGTTGGGGGAGAACACGGGACAGGACTGACTGAAGATAGCATATGGGGCGAGGGAAGAGGGGTAGCTAGGAGGGGTGGGGGTGAGGGGCTGGATCCAAGTCCTTCGGTGCCCCTGGGGCCAGAACCCCTGTCAGTGCCATAGAGTACCCTCGGCTCCCTGGGTACGTCCAGGGCCCACTCCTGCCCGTTCAGGACCTGGGCTGTGTCCGGCTCGCCACCTGAGGTGACCAGCATTGAGTTCAAGTTCTGCAGTCTCCAGCCGCCCCTTCCCCCCCACACCTCAAGAAGCCGGTCTGCCAGAGGAGGCAAGTGGTGGATGAATGGCAGCTCGAATTTACCCGCCCCGTGACCATGACCCCTGCCGGCCCTCCCCTCCCTGATAATCATAACCGTACCTATAAATGCCATTTATGAAGCGCTTACTGTGTTCCAGGAACTGTGTCAAACATGTTACAAGCACTATCTCACGTTATCATCACAACCACAATGTCAGGCAGTTCCTGTTAGGAGTCCTGTGTTTAGCGGGGAAAGGAGGCTCCTGACCAGAGAGGGGAGGGGCCTTGCCCCAAATCACACAGAGAAGGAGTGGCAGAGCTGGGGAGCCAATCTCCCCACAAGGCTGTCCTCAGGATAAGACACCATGGGAGTCCCCAGCTCAGCTTGCTTGAGGAAGTATAATGGGCACTGGGGTAGCTTGTCCCATCTCCATGGGGGCGCCCAGGAAACCTGGACCAGCTCCCAAGTGAAAAAGGAATTCCTGTTTCCCCAGGAAAGGGTGGATGGGGGTGGGGGGGTGTTGCTGTCAGCTCAGCTGGCCTCTGGCTGGGAGAATAATTACACTCCTTCTGCTACTTAACTTTACAACCCCGGCTGTTGTTTTAACGATGCGACTCGTGTTGGGCTGTCCAATTAATCTCGCCTTTGGAGGCTTTCCGAGATGAGGCGGTAGATCTTATCTCGATCTGTGGAAAGAGGAGTGTGCAGCCCTCAGTGGGAGGGAGGCCCCTGGCCTGGGAGCAGACAGGGGAGGGAGGGCAGGCAGGAGGTGGTGAGGCTTCCTCTGTGCCAATGCTCAGCCCACCCTGTGCCACCTGCCATGCCCAAGAGAGCCCTCCAAGTGCGTTTTGGGGAGTAGCGTGGACCAGACCTGGAGCCCAAAGAGAGACTTGTTGCCAACAATAAAGATGAGGGCGTCCCTAACTTTAGTCCCTCCGCCCTGCAGACCACTTGTTTGGACTCCTCTTTGACCAGCCAGTGCCTGAGGGGGCTTTCAGGTGTGTGTGTAGGGGGCTGCGGAGTGTCTGGGTAGGCAGGCGGGAGTGTACAGGTCTGGGAATAGGTCCAGGCAGTGAGAAAGAAGTTCCGCTGGAGAGCTTTTGCTTGGAACTGGGCTCTGGGCTCAGTCTGTCTCCTAGCCCCCTTCTGCCTCCCTAACCCCACCCCCACCCCCGCCTACTCCCCACCCCAGCTTCATGAGAGTGTGGTAGGATACAACATTCCCCTTCGCTCTGGGCATCCCCCATCCATCAGCCCAGGCTGAACTGGAGCTCAGGGACTACGCCTCTACTGTCCCCCGTTTCCTCAGCTTGACACCACTGCCACCGTACTGGTCCTCGGGCTCCCCATCAGCCAAGTCTGCCTAGGTCACCCAGTGTCTCAGACACTCGACACAGAGCAGAGAAAAATTCCTGTTCCTTCTGGGCTTTCCTCTTCCCGCCCTTTGCCCTCGGTGGGACATAGCCAGTCTACCCCTGAGCAGCATCCTTCTCCTCGGACAAGCTTTGCCTGGCTCAGTGGGCCTGTCCTCTCCCAAGGTGAGCAGGGGGCTCCACCTGGGCCATGAGCTGCCTGGTTCCCGAGGAACCAGCCTGGCCGAGCAGCAGCTGGTGAGCATCACTCAAACCTCGGGTGAACATCCTCTCGCTTCCCACGGAGGCAGCTGGAACGATGGAAGGTATGAGAACGTTTCAGAGCTAGAGCACAGAGCTAAGGAGTGGTTCGCACCCCCTGTCCACGCCCAAGAGTCAGATCTGAGAAGAGGAAGAGAGAGGGAGAGGTGAGTTCCCACCACCCTGACAAGTCAGAGAGCAGATGCACTTCACAGCCAGGGCTTGAGTTTTGGTACCAACTTTAATCTTTGCAAGCTCGTGGTGTGGGGGCTTGTGAGAGTTTGCAGGGGTGGGGTGGGGGTGCTAGTCAGTGGACAGGAAGGCAGCAAGCCAAAGCCCTCAGAATAAGAGCAGCTTGTCCCTCTGGCACCAGACAGTGGTGAGTTGCTGAATCGGCAGGCTGACCCTCACCTACACCTTCACTGATGCAGAAAGCCTGCTGGTCTCCACTTCCTTCCAAGTGGGTCCCCATATCTGCCGAGTTGCTATTCCAACTCACAGTGACCACGTGTGACAGAGTGAAATGCCCTGGGGGGCGGGGCGCATAGGTTGTCATCTTTATGGGAGCGGTTGCCAGAGTAGTGGGGGGGGGTGGGAGGTTCACACCAGTGACCTTTCGGTTAGCAGTGGGGCACTTAGCCACGGCACGGCCAGCGCTCCTTTAAACCTCGCTGCTGTTAGGCTGTGGAATCAGTTTCGGCTCAGAGCGACCCTGTGTACAAGAGCGAAACCCTGCCCGGACCGTAACATCCCCACAACGGTGCTCATGTTTGAGTCCCTTGATGCTGCCACTGTATCGACCCATCTTGTCCAGGGCCTTCCTCTCTTCTGCCACCCCTCTACTTTACCAAGCATGATGTCCTTCTCCAGGGACCGGTCTCTCCCCACAACACATGCAGAGCAGGTGCGACCAGTCTGGCCGTCCTCGCCTCTAAAGAGCATTGCGGCTGTACTTCTTCCAGGTCAGGGGTGTCTGGGCTTTCAGCCATCCGGGGTACTTTTCCATGTGCTTCTCGCCACCACAATCCAAAGGAACCAATCCTCTTCTTTGCTCAGTGTCCAGCTGCCGCGTGCTGATGGAGAATACCCTGGCTTGGGTCAGGCGCACCTCAGTCCTCAGAGTAACCTTGCTTTCCAACACTTGAACGAGGTCTTGTGCGGCTGACCTTTACATACGAGGTGGTGGTGGGGAACAGGTCCTCGATAAATACTGTTGAGTTGTAGGGATGACTGCATCTACTCTCCACCAAAATTGACGAGGAGGGGAGGGCTGTTTGGGGAGAGAAGCTTGCAATCCTCATTGGTTGGTTCGTACAGGCCACATGGCTCCAGCCCCTCCTGGCCTCCCAGGATGGTGTGCAGAGAATTGAGTGGATCTGTTGGGGGCGGGGTCTCCAGAAGAAAACGGTGGCTGGGCCCATAAGGTGATGGCGTACTGCAGGATCCGGATGCCCACTTCAGCCTTTGCTCACAAAGGGGTTGGCCATGCTCAACCTTACCCACCCCAAAGCGAGGCATGGGAAACAAGATGGAAGGTCTCTCACTAGTTGACCTCCAGGCTTTGATGGGCTGCTGTTCTTTCAGGACAGTGGCAAGGCCAGGGGTCCTAGGACAGTCCAAACCCCAGCCAGTGGCTCTAGCTGTCCAGGCCCTGGCTGTATTGGGGGACAGTGGCTATACCTGGGTTTCACTGTACAGAGAGCGAGAGGGTTGGAGAGTTGGAGGGGTAGAGAGACAGGACTCTAGCCCCTCTCTTCCTCCTCTAGTTCCTTGTCCTCCCCCACAAAACCCATCTGGAGCTGGTATCCTCCTCGCCCACAAGGGGTGCAGGTGGGCCGGGGCTGGGGCTTTGTAGGCAGCCTGGGGGCCGCCCCGCCCTTCCCAGCTTCACATCATCTGTGGTGTAGCCAGGACCTCTGGGGAGTAATGCTGATACCAGGCTCCAAAGTGGTTGCCATAGTCCTCGGTGGGCAGGGCTCCGGCCTTGGGTAGATCCCACAAGGATGGAAAGGGTGGGGAGCAGGGAGACAGGGGGGAGGGGGCCGAGGAGAAATCCCCTTGCTGGCCCACAGAGTTCTGCTTCAGGAGTTTCTTGTATTTGGAGCGCTTGTTCTGAAACCAGATTTTTACCTGTGGGGAGGGAGAGGAGGGGAAGAATGGGCAGGCAGTCAGGTAGAGTGCATGGGGTGTGTGTTACTGCTACTGCCAGATGTTGGGTCCCCAAGGTAGGGTAAGGCTCAGTCCCCAGAGAAGAGAGGAGCGGAGGCAGGAACTTTGGCTCCTATCCTCCACAGCCCCAAGTCCCCCTAGGTCCCACCCCACCTGCCTCCCAGTGTCCTTGGCCCAGTGGTCCCTGGAAGTTCTCCATATTTGGAATGCTAGCTTCTACCTTTATGGACTCTCCCCACCCCCCCACATTCCCAGCTTTTAACATATGCCCCCACCCTGACCCTAAAGGAGGGCAGCTGTGAACACCCCACTGGAGAACCCTGACAATAAGGCCAGGGGCCTCTCAGCATACAGGGGGGGCGGGGGTGGGGTGGGCCGGGGGTGGGGTCGGCCCAGAGCAATGGCAAGAGGGGTGGGGCTGGTCCCACCTGGGTCTGTGTGAGGCCTAGCTGCGCAGCCAGCTGAGCCCTCTCGGGCAGCGCCAGGTACTGCGTGTGCTGGAAGCGCTGGTTCAGGTGCTGCAGCTGCAGGCTGGAGTAGATGGTTCTGGGCTTGCGCAACTTCTTGGCCTGTGGCCGGGGCTGCGAGGGCTCCAGGGACAGGGGAGGCTTTTCCGAGTCTGGGGAGCAGCACAGGATGACTTGTGGGGTGAGAGGGGGTAGAGAAGTCAGGCCATGGGTTCATTTGCATGTCATTTGCATTGGGGGGACTTAGGGATAACCCCTGGAACCTGTTGTCCCTGTATGCCACTCCACCTTCCCTGGTGCACCAAGCACTGAAGACTCAGTCCCTGTCTTCAGGGCACTCCGCTCTGGGGGCCTCTGAGGCCAGAGGAAGAACGTGCTCAGGATAGGAGGAGGGCACTGGCTGTCCCGGGGACGTCAGGGTTTCTGGCAGCACTGCAGGTTGACTTGAGGTGGGATAGGCAGAAGGGCTTGGTTGAAAGGTCAGAGAGGGACATTGCAGGTGACAAGAACTCAACAGCAGGGCTCAGACAGACACTGAGACTGTCAGCATGACAGACTAGAGGGTCTCCCCCTGCACCGAAGGTGATCACCTCTTATAAGCTGCGGCCTGCACCCATTGGGGAAAGTCTATAGGCCTCCCCTCCTCCTGGGAGGCCACTCTTGTCACCGCCAGGAGGAGATTGGGGTGTGTGTGTGTAGAAGGGGCTGAAATGCTCTGGGGTTTCCACCCTGTCTGCCCCTGAACACAGCCACAGAGAGAGCTGGATGCCAGACAGTCCCCAGGCCATGTTACACACACCGCCCCACCTCCCCAGGCTCAGCACACACACATCAAGTTCTCCCACTGGCTAGCCTCAGTCGCCACTGGCCTCAACGTGCCTGTAAAACTCACCCATGGCCTCTGACACTGCAAACTTCTCAGATCCAACCCTTATGCCCAGCCAATTCCCAGAAAAAAATCCTCTGGTTTCTGCTCCACCGCTCCACCACTCTGCTGCCGCCTGCCCGGACTCAAGCCTAGACCCTGCTGCTGGCAGCCCCAGCTGTTAAGCCCAGAGATCCGAGCCTCTCTTACTGTATAGACCATGTGGCTGGGGGTGGTGTGGTGGTAGTGGTGACTTGGGAGTCCAAGCAGACTGAACTCTCAGAACTCTCTGCACCCCACTTCTGAGCAGATCACCCCCAAGTTCTTTACTCAACAGGGGCTTTTCCTCACACCAGCTTCTATCACTGTGGGCTTCGCCCAGGTCCGGACCAGGGAGCTTCAGGACCTCCCTCAAGGTGCCAGGTGTACCCCTTCCTCAGTGGGGGGCCAGCACACACTTAGAGCCAAGCCTCTCCCGAGATGGGAAGATGTGGGGGGGGCAGGATAAATAGGCAGCCCCCCAAGTCCCCTTTCACACTCAGTGTTCCACTCTGGAGTAGGTTGGGCCTACCATTTTCAGTAGGATAATGTCTTACTTCAATTTCAGGACATTTGTGTGTGTGATTTATCGTAGGATCCTGGAAAACCCATTAAAAGGAGGACTTCTCCCCCTCAGGTCCTTAGACCAGGCAAAGGGAGGGCAGAGTGTGGCAGACAGTTCTGCCATCACCACTCCCCTTTCCAACAGTTTTATAGGCAAGATACTTCATTCTGCAAGTGTGTGTGCCCGCGCGTGTGTACGGGCACACGCACACATGCACACACACAAGTATATGGTACTCCCAAACCAAACTCACTGCTACCGAGTTGATGCCGATTGATAGCGACCCTATAGGACAGGGTAGAACTGCCCCATTTGGGTTTCTGAGGACTGTAATTCTTCACGGGACTAGAAAGCCCTGTTTCGAACTACCGACCCTGCAGATCGCAGCCCAGCTCAGACCCTCTAAGCCACCACTACTGTACTAGCTTATATTTAAAAGAAGAGTCCAAAGGATTCATTTGTAGAGGCTAGATCTGTAACCTACCCCCAAGCCACCCCTCACCCAAGGACAGACACAGTATCCAGGGAAAGGCAGCATACGTATGGCGGAAAACATGGGAGCTCTTGATAGTCTGACTGCTTCCACAGAGTCAATTTTCCATACAGAGTCAACCTGGAAAACAAATTTTGTCCATCCAGGAGGTGTTAAGTCCAAATCTCTAAGGTCGCTTCTGGCTCTAATGGCTTATGAATCCAGGGACAGAGGCTGGGGTGCCATATGTCGGGGCAGCAGGGTAAGGGCGGGGCACCTATCTGTTTGGGCTGGCTCCAGTGGCATCTCTACTGCGTCCATGGCAATTGTGGGGGCATGGCGTGCAGGGGACCCGGAGCCTACCGAGGTGGCACAGACCAGTGCCAGTGTAGTTAGTGTATGAAGGGTATGGTATGTGCTGACTAAGTCCTCCTAGTGAGCACTGTCTCAGGAGTCCTGCCAAGTTCCAGGTAAAAGGAACTAGGGTCTCACTGATCCTAAAGTCATGGGGTAGCAGGGGTGGAAAGCAGAAGGAGCCAAGGTCACAGACATGCTGGGCTGCTGGCCATAGCTTGGCTACCTCCATTGAACAATGGGTGGGGAAGAGCCCACCCACAGGTTCTGCCAGGTCAGTGGCCAGCCTAGGCTGGTGAGGCAGTGCAGAGAGGGAGGGAGCAGAAGGAAGGAAGACTTAGGAGCCCGGGGAATAAGCCCACAGTTAAGAACGAAGGGGGTTGGGCCTGAATACTGCTTGCAGAGACCAGCGGATGGAGGACCACCCTGAGATGGGCAGATGGGCGACAGGGGGAAGAGAGGGCGTGAATTCGGGGGACAATCTTGGGGAAGGGTCTAGGGCCGCCCACGTCTGGATTGCTTCAATTTTCCGTTATAGGTAGGTGCACACAACCCCGCTGCTGGCGGGTGGGGTTGGGTAGGGAGCCCTCCCACACAACTGCAAATGGAAACCAGCGACCAAGATGGACTCGCCTCCTCCCCTCCCCCACCTCCCGCCCCTCCCCCGTCTCCCGCCCCATCCCTTTGCCCTCCCCCACCCCCAGATCCCGAGTGGAATAGGAGCAGGCTTGAATCCCGCTAGCTGCACCCGACCAGGCAAAAGCGAAGTTTAGGGGCGCGCAGGAGCCAGACTCCGACAGCACCAGACTTACCTGCTTCCCGCTCTTGCGGGTGCCCAGTGGCGGGGCAGCGGAGGGACTGAGGGGCCGCTGCAACCTGCTGGCAGGGCAGGTAGGAGTCACCTGGGGTCGCTGGGCCAGTGTAGGGGTAGGGCAGGAGGTGGCCATAGGGCCCCGAGTAGGAGAAACCGGGGACGGAGGCAGCTGTTGAGGGCAGGCCAAGAGGGTAGGCAGCCGCCGGCAACGGGGCGGGGGCGAGGTCCGGGAAGACGGCTTTGGAGGCATCCCGGCCGAGGAGAGGGCAGGGCAAAGAGGTCATTGCGGCTGGGCCCCGGGCCGGAGGGCCTAGGCCATGGCCCGGACGGTGTCCACTCCCTCTGCCAACTCTTTTTTGAGATTCGGGCGTTGGATCTGGTGGAACCCCCCCTCCCCAATCGGTCGCCCCCACACTTAAGATCCCCGAGAAATTGTCTGTGTGCCGCCTGCAGCAGGGACCGCGCTCCTGGGAAAAGGGGTTCCAGGGGGGCATGGCTTTTCCCCTCCCCCCTAAACCCAAGGGAGGGCCCATCTCTTGGGTCCGGTTCTCAGGATCCGACAAGGGCCCCGCCTACTTAAACGCCCTGGATTGGCTCCCACACACTGTGACCTCACGGAGGCCTGGAGCCCGCCCCCTTCCCCCCACCCCCAGCTCCGTCGCCCCAGTGGAGAATTTCAGCTGGGAGAGGGGAACTGGGCCGGCTCTGCGGGCATCTTCTCCGAGAGGCGTACCCGAGGGGCAGGGTGCGTGGTGCAGCTTGGGCACCTCGGTGCCCAAAGTGCGCGCGCAGGGAGGGAGCTAGGCGCGCGGAGCCGGAGCGGCGCAGCGGCGGCGGGACCAGCG